CCACTTGGAGAGCTGTTAAAGAGATTACAAACAACAATGTTGCTCCTTTCTGCTGTGTCTCAGAGGGGTAGCTGTGTTAGTCTGGAACTGAAAAAACTTGATAAAAATCAGTATTTCCTCAGCACCTTAGAAACCAACAGACAATGCCGATGGGATCATGAGCTTTCGTGGGCACAACCCACTTCTGCCCACGAATGGGGTAAAGGGTCCAGGATACAGATAAACAGCTGTGGAAATCCCACTCTGCTGCCTTTCTCCTGCATGGTCCACAGAAGCTGCGTTCCCATAGTGGTCACTTCCCACGTGCCTTCCAGCACAGATCATCTCCTGTGCAGGGAGGGGGCCTGTCTGTAAAAACTAGTCCTAAGCTACGTAGTAGCAAAGGAGAGGTGAGGGGTGTCCACCTCCTGTTGTGACAGCACATCTCAAGGGCATCACTGGGCTCTGTTAAAGAACTTCGATCCCTGGGTTGCAATTGTTCTTTTTGAAGTTAATGGGGGCTGGGGCGGAGGCATCAGAGCGCCTGTGTATATAGAACTGCTTTGCTATCAGTATGTAGAGCAGGTGAGCCAGCGGATTAATTTGGGGTAGGTCTTGCTGAAGAAATTCGTGACCCAATTCAAGAACAACTAAATGTAACATCTCCTGGAAACTCTGGTAGCTTTGCATGTGGGCTCTGTGCCTACCTTGAAATTCCACCCTAGGTTTGTGCTGAATGGGCAGACTTCAAGGCTAGGATATTTTTGTCTTCTCCATGGAATTCATGCCAAGCTCCTTGTGATTCCCTCACAAAAGGCTTTTTGTTCGGGTGAAATTAAGGTTGGGAACATGTCTGGATAATTTAAAGATTAAAATCCTTATAACATAGCTAAGAACAAATACCTGGCAATTGACAGTAAAGGTAGCAAAGGCCCTACCTCTGCTTCCATAAAGTGTCCCATGGAACGTGGAAACTTCAACAATGAATAGTCCGGCAGCACCTTAGAGACTAACAAAACATACAGATGGGATCATAAGCTTTTGTGGGCACAACCTACTTCCGATGAATGGCGTTATTAAAAGCCCAGTTTCTGAAGAAATAGGGGATGGGCGAGGGGGGCAGAAGGAAAAAGGACCATGGAATGTGAGTTCAGCCGTATTGTTCCTTACAGAGGTGTCTCCAGTAGTGAGTGTGATGCTCTGCCATCCCATTGGCATTTGTTCTGTTCATATAAGTGCTGTGGCTTCACAGTGTGAGCCAGAACAAGGAGCAATGGTCTCAAGTTGCACTGCGGGAGGTCTAGGTTGGATAGCAGGAAAAACTACTTTACTAGGCAGGTGGGGAAGCACTGGGCTGGGTTCCCTAGGGAGGGGGTGGAGTCTCCATCCCTAGAGGTTTAAGTCCAAGCTTGACAAAGCCCTGGAGGGGGGATGCTTTAGTTGGGGTTGGTCCTGCTTTGGGCAGGGGGCTGGACTCGGTGACTCCTGGGGCTCTTCCAGCCCTAGGATTCTATGTACGGGCATCTGCTGGCTGACTCCAGTGACATTGGATAACTGGTTTGCATATGGAATTGCAGGACCTAAGACTGAGAGGACTGAGGCAGTTAAATGCACCTTGCAGAATAGATTCCTTGATGAAGAATGGAGAGTGCTATCCAAGAGTTGAATTGGATTATTCATGGCTTGTCCTTGCAGCTTATTTTTGGAGACTCTTTTCATGACATCCCAAAATGTTTGTTACATTAAATCTCAATTAAATGTGATTTGTGGCCCCCTCGTTCTGGGACATTCCATGTCCTTTTGGGTACACTGAGCATTACGTTTCCAGCCAGTTAATGTATGTTTGCAACTCAAAGGATGGATCTCTTTTAGTGCTACAGGAAAATGGGAAGGAAGGCTCCAGGTGAACTGGCTTCTAGCCTGTTTGCAGCAGAAGTTCTCAGGAGGAAAGAAGGCAATTCCTCAGTGCAACCTCTTAAATTCCTTTTATGTATTAGACTGCATTTTAACATCCACGGGAGCTTTGAATTAAATGGATATTCTCTTTGCCTTGGACTAAGAGCAGGCTTTATGAAAATGGATCTGCCTCTTGTAATTTAGGGAGGGATCTAGAAACAGTTGTTCCATCCTAAAGTTGCCCTTGCATGGCATCACCTCCAGTGAGATTTGTTTTATGGGGTGATCCCTGGGCACCATTTAATTTCATTCCATGGATTATTAACTTCCTTCTGCTGACAGGAATAGTGGCTATATAACATAGTGTCCAAGTGTAACCGGACAACGACATGTTTGACCTGTCTCCCCACTTCTGGGGCAGAACTGAAGTCTCCGTTGTATGTTCCTGACTGTGGATGATATTTAGTACTGGTGCATATAAATGCTTTTGTTGCAGTTTCCACTTGCCACTTGAGAGCATAGGAGCGGCAGACATCCTGCCGTTTCCTTCTGGAGTTTTCAGGATTGCAGTCAAAATGTAGAGACACTCTCTTGTGTTTCACTGATTCAGGAGTCTTGACACATTGTGGTGAAAAACAGTCACAGAACTTGGAAAACATGAATTCCTTTCCCCTCTCTAAATCGCCCAGTCTGTACACACACGTGTGTGTATCTCCATCAGCACAGCCCGTGGCATGGAATTCCCACACAGTATTAGTTCCCACCAACTGTTGCTGTAGTTGCATATTTTGGCATGTGATGGGGCTTTTTCCCCACACTGGGCTTAACAGTAGAGCCCTTGGGAGGCTGCGCAGGAGGGAGGCAGCCAACCAGGGCTGGGCAGGCTCACATAAGAGCAGCCTTGGTCTCATCCTGGAGCTTGAGGTCTGGCTGCCTTGCAGAAGGAAGTCAGCAAGCACCCCAGACTGAGCAGTGCTGCAAGCACATTGCCTCAGGTCCCTGCAAGGATAAAGAGGGTGCTGGGGGCCTCAGGGAAGTGGCTCGAGGAGATCTTCAGAGAAGTCAGAGGGGGTGCAGCAAGTGGCAGCCATCTTACAGGACCCATGGGCCAGGGCCTGGAATAGTAGGCAGGCCAGGTCCTCCCTGCCCCTACTCACCACAGAGGGAGTGGCTGGGTGGAGCGATTGTGATATCTTCTCCCGGAAGCGGCAAGAACAGTGTGACACAGCTGCAGGGTTGTGTCCTGTAGAGGGTCCCTGGAGCAGAAGTGACGGTGGCAAGATGCCACCGGAAAAGCATGCACAGGTGCAGCACTAATTCCCACAGCAGCCAGCGGCACCACAGCGGTGAGTTGCACCCACCCTAGCTAGCCATGCCCTGTTCCCAGGCATAGCTGGACGAGGCAAGTACATGCGACATATTGCTCTATCTACTGCATATTTGCGAGTGTCGGTCTGTCAGTCTGTTCAAGAACTGCCCCTAAGCAGTTAAGAGCTAGAACCACCAAGTTCAGTATGCAGCTTCCTCTTACCATAACTTAAACCAAGGTCAGGGTTCGGTTGGGTTGTGCCAGGACAATAGGATATACCCGGAATGGGATTGCTTCTCCTAAAACCATACAGGAAAGGGACAGAATCAACAGGCAGGCGAAAGGGGCAGGCTGGGGGCGCCTCCCCTGGTGGGAACACTGCTGGCTGTTCACTTGCATCAGGGAGCGAGGGGAAAGTGCACAGTTCGCTGCATTCCTCACTGTGACTGGGGAGCGCAGGGGGCAGATGATCCTGGACCTGCCCCAGCCAGGGGACATGCATCCCTCCTCCCACTGGGCCTGCTGGAGCTGCAGTGGCCATGGAGAGATGCTTCTCACCTGGCCCCAAGCTGCTGCGGTGAGAGGGCTGGAGTCGTTCTCTCTCTCCCTAGGGCAGCCTGCACCTGAACCCTCCTCCCCAGCCTCACCCCGAATGATGATTTGAATGAAGCCTGGACACTGTCATTTTATTTTCCAAAAAAACAAAACTTAAGGACCCGAGTAATGCCCGGTAAATCTTCTAGTGTGTGGTACCTGCACATTCCGTAGTGATAGCCTGGCAGCTGAAAGCCTGTGCCGCTGCACAAGTGTCATTCGTACAGTTGTGAATTTAAAGACAATAAACGTGAACTTAAAATTGGATGGAAATAGAATGAATCTGGTGATGCTCTGAGCAAAAGGAGCTCTTGGCTGTACCCAATAGAATGATGTTCAAGGCTTCAGGGTGACTTTTGGGGGCTATTGTGAATGCTGGTTGGCTGATTTGTGTGTGGGTTGTGTTGGGTGAGTTGTGTGCATTTGTGCATGTGCAAATGAGTGTGTACCGCCTTGCGGGGCAGCGTGTGTTTGGAGTGGAATGTGGGGGTGATTTTGAAGAACCGTGGTAGTTCTTAGGTATTAGTCTTTGCTGCCAGAGGCGAAAACACCTTAGCCCCCAAAAGGCTCTGTCCCAAGTACTGGTGAATTCTGGCTCTCACCAGCCTATCCTCTTGCCTCTGATACTAGCGTTGCCTTGTAGATTAAATGACATTGCATGGGATGCAGGGTCATGATGCCCGGCAGTTCAGGGCACTAGATCTCTACGTACCTTTGCCCTTTTCACCTATTCTCAGACCGTGATAAACTGACCATTAGCAAATATTCAAGCTGTTACCCATGTGTCTGGAAATTGCTGGTGACTAATGGAAAGCCCAGCCCTGTTTCCGCAGGGGCCAAAGAATTCTGCCCGTGGGTAAGGATTAACAGAACAGGTGTGGGAATAGACGCTTGGCTCTCTGAGCAGACGCTACAGAGTCTTGGCTCTCTGCTACAGAGGCAGGGCTGTAGCAAGTATGAATCAAAGTTCTGGCCAGTAACCTAATCCCAGATCTCTCCTGAACGCATTGCAGCGGGTCTGCCTGTGAAGACATGACATGAAATTGCTATGGTGCAAGTGTGGATTAGTCCTAATATGTCACAAGTCCTTTTTTTTTTTTTTTTTTTTTTAAATAACTTTAAAAAACCCAGCCACCCAAACAAACTCGGTTCCATCTCTGACTGAGTTTGCTGCTCAGCTGCTGGATGTGTGCTGCAATTACTCTGCATTTGTCTGTTGCAGAGATTTGCCTCAGTATGGGCAGAAGCAGTGGCAGTCCTATTTTGGGCGAACCTTTGATGTTTACACCAAACTCTGGAAATTTCAGCAGCAGCATAGGTAAGAAAATGCTCCTGAGAACCCCATCTTTAAATAATTTGCAGCGTTTCTTCTTGTATTCTGGTATTGCCCAAAGACCTGGACTGGAGTCCAGTGTTCCCTCTTAAGATTTTCCAGCGATGAGCGGAGTGAGCTTTGGCTTGTGCAACAGTATTGGGATCATGAGCACTTGTTTGGATGTGTGCCACCGTGGCACCCAAGTTATTAACACACACATTCCCGGCCGCTGAAGCAGATCCTGCCCCTCCCCCTTCCCGCCATGCGGCATATCCCATTTCCGGCCCCAGCTGCCAAAACACACCCTGGCCCCCCTGTCATGTGACAGCCTAAGTCATTGGAGCAAGCCACTTCCATCCCCCGCCACGCAGCTGTGGCAGGTCCCGGCACCCTGCTCCCTCACCACGCTGTCTCAGCCAGCCTCACGCGCCACGGCGCTCCAGAGGAGGTGGGAGGGGGCGGGGGAGAGAATTTTTTGTGTGCAGCCATGCAGTTGCACATCTTAGTGGGAACTGTGTTGGGGTCCCATTTTTCTGTCCCAGCTTAGAGGAAGACAGTTCCTGCCCTGAAGAGTTTACATTTAATTTAAACCAAAGAATGTTGCATATAATCTTTTCTCTTTGTAACTTTTTTTAAGCAAAACCTCCCAGCCTGCTCACATGCACATTGCCTTACTCTGCTGAGGGTCTCTGCAGTGCACCTGTGTGCCCAGGTGGAGCTCTGACCTTCTTACATCTTGCTGTACCTGGCTCTTCTGAGCATCCTCAGGAAGCTATGACCCTCTTCCATGTTTATCTGTGAAACACCATGATCCCTCTAGCTATCGCACTCTTTTTTGCAAGGAAACCTATAGTGCTGTGGAATCCCTTGTCTTGGAATGTGTCCCTGCTACTGTGCGCACGGCTCTGTCACAGCCTGGCTTGTAAGGGCCCTAGTAGAGTATAAAACTTTCTCTAAGGGCTGTTGTTTTGAATACCAACTTAAGTAAGGCAAGCAGGGTTTGATCTTCTAATGGTGTTTTGCCTTGGATTTGGATGGTTTCAGGGAAATGCATGGAATCTATTAATGCTCTTCCTTTTCTCTTGCTTGAAATAGACAAGTACTGGACAATCGATATGGGCTGAAGCGCTGGCAAATTGGGGAAATTGCCTCCAAGATTGGGCAGCTTTACTACCATTATTAGTAAGTGACTCTGCTGCTGTGCTTGCTGGGGACAAGTGGTGTTGCTCATGACCCCATGCAGCACACATGGTGGTGGAACAATTTCCTTCATGGGCCAGCAATGAAGGATGGGGTTGGGAGGTGCCATGTGTATTCTTGAGTGACTCAAGCTTGGTTGACGTAAAACTTCTTGTGTTGACCTAATGCCAGTATACACACTACAGCCTTCTGATGTAAGTGCCTTGTTACACCAACATCACAACTCTCTCCACAAGGGGCTGATGTTGGTGTAGTTAGGGCCCTGCATTGTCCAGTAGACAGGTTGTAACCTACATCAGCTGTTGGCTTTTATGTGGAAGCCCTGAAACTGACAAAAGCCCAGCTGCCACTGGTGCAGGTTGGGGAGCTCCAGCTAGAGCCCATCTGCTACCTGAGTTCCCCACTCCTACCTGGGCTGTGCCCTCGCCCACCTCTTCAAGTATAGCTGCCAGGCTTCCTGCTATCCAGGCTCTCAGTCCCCCACACTACGCCTTGTCAGCCCGTGGGAGCGCTCCTGGTGAGGACGTGCACCACCTGCAGAAAGAAGGTATTGGGAATATGAACCACAGCAGTAATTACTGTAGTGGTTGTAAGTCGACCTAACCTGGTTGACGTATGTTTCTGGTATAGACATGCCCTCAGGACTGGTACAAGGAGGCCACAGGAGGGACCACTCTCAGCCTTTGTGGCCCAGAAGATTCATTGCAGAATCAAAAAGTGGATCCCAAAGGTGACCCTCATGCTTGAATATTATTCTGCTAGAGCCTTTTGACACTGTGAAAAGATCTGCCTCTCTGCCTCAACGGTCACTTTAAAGTTGCTTCTGACTCTGCATATTGATTTAGTTACTAGTTGGGGTTTTTAAACTGTTGTTCCCCTTAAATCTTCCATGTTGATTGTCACCCGTGTGTGGGCATGATGTACTGAGATCTGATCTTTGTTGCTGGCTCCTTCCTTAAACTGAAATAAAACTGAAGCTCTGGAATCCCCTCCAGTCACATGCTAGAACTGGAAAACACTTTGTGGCACTCTCTTGAGAGTGCGTCTGACCCACTCAGCGATCTTGTGTGTTGGTGGCGGGAGTGGGGGTGGCAGGAAGGTAATGTGTTAGTGGAGCAGTGAGGTAATATGTTTCTCCCACAGCCTGCGCACATCTGAAACCAGCTACCTGAACGAGGCCTTCTCCTTCTACTCTGCAATTAGACAGAGATCGTATTACTCTCAAGTCAATAAAGAGGACAGGTACGCCTGCACCAGCGTCTTGACTTTTTCAGGATTAGAGCAATGAGCAGAAGCAGTCTTGAATTGTAAACTGTGATTAAGGGAAAATAACTGGGGTAAGAGCAGCTCTGTACAGGAAGTCTCTGTTAATCCTAACCACCCTGATGAAACACTTTATTGTAGAACCACCAGCCATGTGTGAAATC